GAAGAGCGTGAGGACTAAATCTGGAGTTTGCAGCAGGAAAGATAGGCAAAAATCTCACCCCCCCGCCCGATGGAAAAGCTGTTCTCTACCACAAGAGCTTCTTCTCTCAGACCTTGGTCTCTTCCACCTCTATGGTGACTTACAATTGTCTCTGTAAATATGGTCATAAATTATCTTTTTAAAAAATGTTTATGATATTGAGAGCAGCCCCTTGCAAGTGGGAACTCTTGTAGGTGGGACCTCCCTGAGTTGTATATGGGTAACCGCATGTTGACCAATATCCTGTAACTTCCTCTCTCTGCTGTGTTGTAATAGCCCGCTTCTTCTTTTCTGACCAGTTCCAAGATGGCCTTGTGGAGTGTGGTTCGTGACATGCATCCAGAGCTGTTCAGTGGCTACAGCGAAGAGTTTCCTCGTGACCTGCGTTGCTTCCTCGGAGATTGGCTGGAGAAGCACCCATGGTAAGTCTAGGGAGCACTGTAGGTCTACACATTCCAAAATGGCAGCTCTGGTTTTGTCCAGACTAATTCTGTCCGTACCAGGTTTCATTCGTCTTGGCCAGCACAGCCATTCCTAGTATGCGTAGCAGTATAGATGCCTTCCAGTTGGGTGCTTTATTGCCACATCCTAAACTCTGGAGAAATACCACTGGAAAAGATCCCACCTAGAATTTCTTTGGATGCAAGAGGTGGTTTTTGCTGGTTCTTGAGTCCCAGGAATAGCTTGCTAAAAAACCTCTTGGAGAAAACTCTTGGAAAAACTCTAGGTGGTATCCAAGCACTGATGTGATGGCAGTCCTAAACCATTATCACATTTCAGGCCGTAACTCAGACATTTCATTGGCCCCTTTAACAGTTCCACAGCTACACAGCAGAAAGCGACAATTCCACCTTCTTGGCATCCTTCTTTCTGGATTCCTGATGTCCGCTCCCATATTCTGCAGAGCGAGATGTTTGTATCTCCAGCAGACACGATGAGAGGCGGGCAAAGGAACTGTGAGAAGGGAACTGTTTCATCCTCCTTTGTGTTTCCATATGTGGAAATATCTTCTCTGATGTGTGTGTATGGACTGTGGCTCTAAGCCACGTGGAAATATCTTCTCTGATGTGTGTGTACGGACTGTGGCTCTGAGCGAATACAGCCCCAAAGGAAGCTCCAAAGGGCAGGTGTACTGTCACTTGATAGTGTTCTAGAGCAAGCCAAGAGAGAGAGGAAAGGGGTTATTCTGATGGCTGCGCATAGTTTAGGGGAGCATTACCGTGTGTGTCATGGCAGGCCATGCTAATCTGCTCTGTGGATCACAGTGAACGTTGACCATTGCTCTCTTCCATAACTAGAACGTTGGTCTTGATAGAAGCTTAGCTTGATCCAGCAACCCAAGTATAGTTCTGAAGGCAGACTATACTACACCTTTTATCCAGTTTGCTTGTCGTGGCTTCCCCCACAAAGATCCTCCATCAGTTATTGTACCAAAAGGGCTAGCGATCTCTGATGGAGGCATATCTCCTACCTCAAGCTGGAGGGAGTGCCTCCAACTTAAGGCTCTTCCTTCGGCCTAAGTAGCTCTTCTTCTGAGGGCTGAAGGGAATGCTTCAGACTTTGCTCAGTGGAATGGTAGGATCCCAGACCAGAATTCCAAGCACTCTTCCAAACTACAACTTCCAGAATTCTTTGGAGAAAGCCATGGGGCGTAGACCAGCTTACAGACAACTCGACACAGCTGGTATACTTTCTTCAAGCCATTTTTATTTTACTGTTACGTGGCAGCTATAGAAAAGGGGTTTTCAATGGGGTGAGGCCAGATTTGGCTGACAGACTCCTTGTTGGGTAGCCATAGGTGCAAGACAGTTCTGGTTCCCCTATAGAGGAGGAGGAGAGGAGATTGGATTTATACCCCGCCCTTCACTACCCAAAGGTGTCTCAGAGTGGCTTACAAACTCCTTTCCCTTCCCCTCCCCGCAACAGACACCCTGTGAGCTAGGTGGGGCTGAGAGAGCTCTTGACAGAAACTACTATTTTTCAAGGACAGCTCTTATCAGACCTATGGCTTGCCCAAGGTCATCCACCCAGGTGCAAGTGGAGGAGTGGGGAATCAAACCCGGTTCTCCCAGATTAGAGTCCGCACAGTTAACCACCACACCAAACTGGCTCTAGCTATGGATTCTCATCGCTGTGGCAAAACCTATGGGTTGCTCTACATGCTTTGTAGGTTGTAGGTGGCCACTGAGTGATGTGTACGTTCTGGCAGGACCAGCCAATTCCAGGGTTCTGAAAAGAGGTGGATGGCTTCAGATGTGTCTCCTGTCTTTTCAACTTCATCTCTGTGTGCATTTCCTCTTGTTCTCCTCAGGGAATTCATCACTGGGTCAGACTCATTCAGCGCCTTCATGGCTGACAGCCTGCTTTCTGCCTTGATGGAGAAACTGCAAGACTTGGCCAATCAAAACTGCCAACCCGGCTTGATTCTTCAGCTCACTACTAACTTGGAGGTACGTCTGGGGCCTGAGGTGAACTGAACAGGAAGGGGATACCAGCAGCACCTTTGGCCTTACCACTTAGCGTGGCACTTTCTGGGTTTGTTGCTGGAGCTCTCTGCTTCCATTAATGCAGAATATGGCAGCGAGGGTGCTGACAGTGATGTCTTGGTGAGCGCACATTCAACCTATGCTCCATGAACTGCACAGGCTGCTGATAGAATTCCGGGTCCGTTTCAAGGTGTTGGTACTTACTTTTAAGGCCTTAAGCGGCCAGGGACCAACAAACTTACAGGGCCGCTTCTCCCCTTAAGTGCCCCGTCGAGCCTTGTGCTCATTAGATCAACACTTACTGGTGATACGCGGCCCAAAAGACATCCATCTGGCCTCAACCAGGGCCAAAAAGGGCCAAACCTGGTGGAATGAGCTCCTGCTAGAGATCAGGGCCCTGCAGGACCTTGAACAATTCTGCAGGGCCTGTAAGACGGAGCTCTTCCACCAGGCTTTTGGGTGAGGCAGTGGACATCAGACATCATCTGGCCCCTCCTGTTACCTCTCTGTTACCATCCGTACCATGGTCGTCAATTTTCAAGGACACAGAATGATAACCTCCTTGGTTTCCCCAAGGTAGGGTACTTATAATCTGGAATCCCTTAAGGGATCTAGCTCTTTCTGCCTTTAATTGTCTAACACCAGGGCACCAGTGTAACAGTCGTGATGCAGTCTGATCGTAAATCGTTTAAGGGTTAAGTTTATAGTTTTCGTTTTATTGTTTTATATTAATGTTGTAACCCACCCTGAGCCCGCTTGTGGGAAGGGCAGGATAGACATTGAACCAAATAAATAAATTTTGTGAATAGCACCGGCTGTATCAGGACAGGATGCCCTTCTGTCTTGCAAATGTCTTTGTCTCCTTTGGTGGTATTGTGGCAAAGGCATGGTGGTGTAGCCGGGGCTCGATCCTTTGGTGATTCAGCAATGCAACATGGCCTGCCCTTTTCTTGGGTTGAAGGACTGGGTTTTCCCTCTCACCAAGATGGGTCTGATGACTAAAAGGATCGACAAATTGCTCAGATACGGGGCATCCCCTAGGAGTGGTCTCCCTCCAGAGACCTTACAGAGGGGTTATTGTGGGACATGGGAAGCCCCCAGACCCAGATAGACACCCCAGGTATGACTAAAAGGACTGACAAATTGCTCAGATACGGGGAATCCCCTAGGAGTGGTCTCTCTCCAGAGACCTTATAGAGGGGTTATTGTGGGACATGGGAAGCCCCCAAGTCTAGAGAGACCCCACCCCAGGTATGATCTGTGGTCTGATTGCAGTTCCGGGCAGATGAGCCCTTAAACCTGGTCTCGTACCAAGTTTGAATGTTAGGGGGGGAGATATCTTTCCAGCAAGATGCTATAGATAGCCTAGCCGCATACAGCATTGTGATAAAGTTAACAGAAATAAAAGGAACATCGTACATTTTGGGTTCGAAGCTAAATGGATGCCAATTTTAGAAGCTCTATCAGACAAAAAATATCATCTGGCCCCTCCTGTTACCTCTCTGTTACCATCCGTACCATGGTCGTCAATTTTCAAGGACACAGAATGATAACCTCCTTGGTTTCCCCAAGGTAGGGTACTTATAATCTGGAATCCCTTTCTGCCTTTAATTGTCTAACACCAGGGCACCATGGTAACAGTCGTGATGCAGTCTGATCGTAAATCGTTTAAGGGTTAAGTTTATAATTTTAGTGTTATTGTTTTATATTAATGTTGTAACCCGCCCTGAGCCCGCTTGTGGGAAGGGCGGGCTAGAAATTGAACCAAATACATAAATTTTGTGAATAGCACTGGCTGTATCAGGACAGGATGCTCTTCTGTCTTGCAGATGTCTTTGTCTCCTTAGGTGGTATTGTGGCAAAGGCATGGAGGTGTAGCCGGGGCTCGATCCTTTGGTGATTCAGCAATGCAACTGGGCCTGCCCTTTTCTTGGGTTGAAGGACTGGGTTTCCCCTCTCACCAAGATGGGTCTGATGACTAAAAGGATCGACAAATTGCTCAGATACGGGGCATCCCCTAGGAGTGGTCTCCCTCCAGAGACCTTACAGAGGGGTTATTGTGGGACATGGGAAGCCCCCAGACCCAGATAGACACCCCAGGTATGACTAAAAGGACTGACAAATTGCTCAGATACGGGGCATCCCCTAGGAGTGGTCTCTCTCCAGAGACCTTATAGAGGGGTTATTGTGGGACATGGGAAGCCCCCAGGTCTAGAGAGACCCCACCCCAGGTATGACCTGTGGTCTGATTGCAGTTCCGGGCAGATGAGTCCTTAAACCTGGTCTCAAGATGCAGCTGAAGGAGATGGCAGAATCATTAGGTGCTAGAATGGGTTGTGCCTTCATAAGAAAGCTACGTAAGTGGAAAACTAGCACAGCACAGAGATGGGCTGGGTTAGAACCTTGCCCTCTGCCGTGCTATCTCCTTGCAGAAGCCTGGGTTTTTTTACATGACGGGAGCGATCAAAGACCTGCTCACCTATCTCCAGTGTGAAATGATACAGTCCATTTTAATCACCTTGGGATTCCGCCACCTCATCCTACCGCCTGCATGGACTAGGTCTTAGAGCCAGTTTCATGGGCACATTGTAGCACAGTGAACTACGACCAGCCCCATCCTCTGCGCAGAAAGACTGGATTTTCCTCAGCCAAGATTGGGTCTTTCTGTGCAGTGCTCGCAGCTCAGAGTATGAACTTGCTTTGGAAGTCACAGGCAGGTGCACAGCCCACCCCAGCGGCCTCAGAATCCCCTTCCTTTACAGGCTCAAGTCCCCAGTGTCCCTAAGGCGGCGTTAGGCAGTCTCCTGGAGAGCAACTATTGAGTAGCAGCTTTGCAGGTTGAACTTAGTAAGGAAAAACAGCCGTGATACGATAACGAAGCCTTGTTAGAGAAAAATACATCTTCTTTAATTATCCGGAGAATAACAAGTCATAAAGGTGTTTTCTTTGAAAGGAAGAGGGAGTAGAAAAAATACAAAAGGCGTAAGGTCTCATCTGATGAAACCTTGAGTGAAATGGTCCATTGAGCGCTGTACCGCCAGAAAGAAAAACTTGAGACCAATTTACTTTAAAGAAAGCACCTTTATGATTTGTTATTCACTGGATAATTAAAGAAGATATATTTTTCTCTAACAAGGTTTCATTATCATATCATGGCTCCGGTCACACAGGCTAGAAAATGCGGGGGGGAAGCGTGGCTGTTTGCCCCGGAGCAAAATAATGCGCGACTGCGCGATCAGGCGTCCAGTTGAGGTCCCGTTGAGGTCCCGTGGTTAGGGGGGAGGTGCCGATCACACGAAGCGGCAAAGAAGCGGGGCTGTGCGGCAAACGGGGTTGTGTTTGTTTTTAAAAAACTGGAATGTGCGCATGCTCCGTTGGGTGCTTGTGCGCATCCCATGGAGTCTGGAAAAAAACCCCTTTTTTGCAAGGGGACATGGGCGGGCGCCGGATGCCACTGGAAACGCGATCAGACGCCCGCCCTTGCCCCGCGGTTTCCGGAAACTAGTACCTCGGAGGTACTAGTTTTTTGCCCCGGATCTTCGGCGGGAAGCCTCGGGTGAGCCACGGGAGCTCTACGCTTCCCAGATGTGGCGCTGTGATCACGCCCAAAAAATCCGCCTATCTTCCGTCTCTGTAGCGTGGCTAATGCTCCGTGTGACCGGGGCCCATGGTTGTTTTTCCTTACTAAGTTCAGCCTGTCTCGTGATCTCTCATCCTTGACTTTACTCGCTTTGTAGGTTGAGGCAGAAACACGACCAGCATTTCTTCTTCTTCTTTCTAATTACAGAACGCTTATCGGAGAGATCCGCTGCAGTTGGCAAGGACTGTGAAACAGATTCTAGACGCGGAGCGGGTAGCCGTTCAGAACCAGGTAGGGTGGTTTGCTTCCCCCTGCCCTTTACACAAAGCTGTTCTGCAGTATTAAATTCTAGTCCTGGATTGCCACCCTGGACCCTAAATACTACGTCTACAAGACAACAGTGGGGACAGATGCAGACCCGCCACCCTCAGTCTCATGACACCTAGAGGGTTGCTAACATTTTTTAGCCTTTCGGAAGATTCTGCTGTTTCCCTAATGCAAATGAAAAGGCAAAACATTCCCCAGTTTTTTTCCAAAGACAAGTAATAACACTCATAGAAATATATTAAATATATCGAATATATGAACATGTACAATACTTCAAGAAAACGTAATGTACCTCATAAAGTCTCCCAAACCACAGAATGAAAAATTCTTGAGCCAGTTTGGTGTAGTGGTTAAGTGCGCAGACTCTAATCTGGGAGAACCCGGTTTGATTCCCCACTCCTCCACTTGCACCTGGCTGGATGACCTTGGGCAAGCCTTAGTTATGATAAGAGCTGTTCTTGAAAAAGAGCAGTTTCTGTCAAGAGCTCTCTCAGCCCCACCTACCTCACAGGGTATCTGTTGTGGGGAGGGGAAGGGAAAGGAGTTTGTAAGCCGCTCTGAGACACCTTTGGGTAGTGAAGGGCGGGGTATAAATCCAATCTGTTCTTCTTCTTCTTGAAAGAAACACTATCCTAAATAGTCCACAAGTGCAAGCCCTCCAAGGGGCAGTAACAGTCCATTGAAAAAAATACTGTCCAGTATACCCCGACGGTATCATACATGATGTTCAGACCATTTTGAAGAAAATCCTTCCTCAAAGGGTATAATAACTCAGGGTAGGTACGATGACCATGCACTAATCAAAGTTCTGTTTTGCCTGCTAGCTTTGGTACCATTGGGTTGTGAACTTGTTAAGAGGCTTTGGATAGAATTTTGATCTGTGCATGGTCATTGTACCTACCTTGGCATGTTATATCCTTTGATGAAAGATTTTCTTCACCTTGCAACCTGCTTATCTGGCAGCCAAATGGCTCCTCAATTCATTGGTGTGCCATGTCCCTAGAACCTCTCCGCATCCAGACCATCCTCAGGCCATGCCCCCACACTACATCATCTCTACACAGCACTTTACAAGGTTTACTATGATTCTCTTGCTGGTCCTTCCTGCAACCCCGTGTTGGTTGCTCATTTTGCAGCTGAGCAGACCTCCCTCGGTCTGCTGCCTTGACACCAGTGAGGTCATCGCTTGCCCCCCCTCCTGTCATGTGATTCCAATGTCAGGTGACTTTCTATAATGTACATACTGTTCAGCAGTTTGTGGGTCTGGAAGGATTGAAGGCTCCTGTGCTGGATCACTGCAAGCTGAGTCTATAATATCGAAAAACAGTTGTTCCGTTCTACACACATAGAGAAAGTAGCAGGGAGGATTGTCTCTTATTTCTGCATCTTATAGTTTCAGTGCCTGCCCCTCAGCTTCCACCGCCAGCAGGAGGAACTGAAGTTTGGATTTGATCTGAAGCGGCTGCAGTACAAGCTGCAAGAGATCCGGGCCCTCTATGGGAACCTGGAGGACGGCTCAAGAGGTGAGCACTTGAAAGGTCTGGAAGGTTGTAAGGATGGAGTGTTGAAGGGGACCCGTCAATGATGGGGGTTCAGAAGCACTCGCCTTCCAGCCGTGATGGCTTGGCAGCAAACGCAAACTGGGAAATCTTTGCAGGTACTATAGAGTCATAGAATCACAGAGTTGGAAGGGACCTTACAGGCCATCTAGTCCAACCCCCTGCTCACTGCAGGATCAGCCTAGAGCATACCTGACAAGTGTTTGTCCAGATGCTGCCAGTAAAGGGGAGCTCACCACCTCCCGAGGCAGCTGATTCCACTGTTGCACAACTCTTCCTGTAAAACAGTTTTCCCTACGATCCAGCTGGTACCTTCCTGCCCTTCATTTAAACCCATGATTGCGAGTCCTCTCCTCTGCTGCCCACAGGAACAGCTCCCTGCCCTCCTCTAAGAAGTGACAGCCCTTCAAATACTTCAAGAGAGCAATCCTGTCCCCCCCCCTCAACCTCCTCTTCTCCAGACTGAACATTCCCAAGTCCCTCAGCCTTTCCTCACAGGGCTTGGTCTCCAGGCCCCCGATCATCCTCATCGCTCTCCTCTGCACCCACTCCATTCTGTCCACATCCTTTTTGAAGTGTGTTACACTTTTGCTTTTACTGATTGGACATGGCTTTGAAAAACAAGCCACCAACGCATGGTGGTGGTGATGCTTCGTTTTTTAAAGGAATATTTATTTAAAGCATTTGTTAGCCGCCTTTCTGCCTTGCCACAGTAAGCAGAGGTGTTCTTCTAAGCCACAGATGTCAATGAACCCAGAATGGTATAACTCTGCTTAGGATGGCACTGTTCAAGTCCCAGATGGCATGGATTCAAAGTGTCTGAAGGATTCCCTCCCCTTGTATGTTTCTACCCAGTGCTCTGAGGGCATCTAAGGGGGTTCTGCTATAAGGACCCACATTTTCACAGGCCCATCTTGCAGAAACTGAAGCGCAAGCATTCTTGCCAGTGGAACTCCCTTCCCCAGGAACTTTGTCATACGCCTTTGTTATACACCTTCCTGTGGTTTTGAAACACTTGCGTGTTCCAGAGAGAAGGACTTTGAATAGGATTTTATGGTATCCCTGGGTTCTGTTTGTCTTAGTGTCTTGCCTTGAGGATTCCATGAAGCCTTTAAGGTTTATATTGAACTCTAGGTGTTGTAATTTTTGTAAGCTGCCTAGAGTGTGTGTTACTCATGGAAAGGTGGAATATACATTCCCTAAATGAACTGTTGCTTTGCCATTGTCAGTTTCTCTGCAGATAAACACAGTGGATCCACAGTTCTCAACACAAGGGGACCTGCAAGCGAATGTGAGTACTCCTCTTTGAGAGGGTGAGGAGGGGCTGTGGCTCAGTGGCAGAGCGTCTGCTTGTCCTGCAGATCAATCCTCAGCATCTCCAGTTAAAAAGGGATCTGGCAGGAGGTGATGTGAAAGACCTGGGGCAGTTGCATACCATGGGTGCCTCATGGATTTCACCACTGTGCATCTGGTCCTTTTCTTCAGTCTATCTAAAACAACTTGCCTCTTTTCCTGGTCCCTCCAGACCCTTCACACACTGTTCTCCGAAGTAGCCAAAGAGCTAGAAACCGCAAAGACCCGGCTGCTGAAGAGGCTTGACATCTGGAAGAGGCAGCAGCAGCTGGCCGGGAACGGAACTCCCTTCGACGAGGACTTGGCTCCGCTGCAGAAGAGGTAAGTATCACTGCAGAGCAGTGTCACAAGCCTTATTCGCAGAACTGCTGTTCTGGGATTGTTGGAGGTTTTCAAGCCAGGCTGCAATGAACGTTGTCACATTTGTACTGATGATAAGGAAGCCTAGAAGTATGACTGTGCATAACTCTCTTTGACGCTGATCACGTTGCTTTAACAGGGAGCTAGGGTACCAGTGACCAATATGACATTTCTTGTGGGGCCAGTTACTTTCATGTTTCCCCACCACTACCACCCAGAGGAGCCTGGCTGGTGCACTGGCAAATGTTTAGATTCCTACCTTAATTTGTCACACCCCATACCCGTTTTCCATGCCAAGCAGAGGTGAATTCTGCAACCTGTGTAAATTATGCAAATGGAGCAGATTTGCGTCATTTGTTTCACATTTTGGGCTATTTTGCATAATAAATTCTGGCTTTGCTCATTTTGGCGGCGCGCAAAGAGCTGTACTGGGACATGTAAACCCCATTTAGCAGCTTCTTTGGCTCCCGAGATCTCAGCCATGTATGTAGCTTTGCTGCCATACGGACTAGAAAGTTGCTTCTTTAAAAGGAAAAGTTTGCAAGCTCAGCAAGCTCGTTCCCACACTTTTGCTGCTCTCCTGCAGAGGAGGTAGGGTTTTAGTTTTAATATCTGTGGTAATGTTGGCAGTTTTAATTACATTTTTATCGCATGCATTATGCTATTTTTATTGCATTTAAAAAAAACTGTTGTAATCCTAGGGTTGCCATTCCCCTGGTGGTGCCAGGGAAACCCCTGATTTTCGGGGCTCCAGCCCACCAAGCCCCACCCCCAAACAGGGACGTTGCTGTGCGGCATCCCCAACACAATGACGACATCCGGAAATGATGTCATTGCGCCAAGGACGTCATGCGGGGATGCTCTGGTATTTGGGCAAACTCTATCGTTTTGAGGCTGAAAAGGCCATAGAGTTTGCCCAAATACCAGAGCATCCATGGCACGATGTAATCACTTCTGGGTGATGTCATTGCATCAGGGACATCATGCAATGTCCCCACCCATCCCTGGAACGCCCCCTAAAGTCCCCCGCTCCAGCCAAGGTAAGACCTAGCAACCCTAGGTAATCCATTTTGATCCTCAGCGAGAAAGGCAGACTATGAATGAGGTAACTAAATAAATAAATAAATTGCAACTTGCACACATCCATGCTTACATAACCATAGATAGACAGGCAGGGAAGCTTTCACTTGGAAATGCCTCGCTAAGCTTGTCTACAGGCAAGCAAAGAAATTCCTTTGCTGGGACCAAGACCAAATGGCACCGCTCAATCTGAATGTAAATGTTCACCACCACACCTCTCGTTCAATTTAGTTGCTCCTCGCAGCTTGTGCAAACTTGGCTTTGACATGCAAAATTTGTATTGGGGGGGGGGGGAAGCAACCCAACTGATCCAGCATCTTTCCGAACAGGTTTGAAAGCCTGGTGGACGTTTGTTTCAAGCTTCGCCAGCAGGTAGTAGCCCTGGCGGCTCAGCTGGGCGCTGATCTTCAGTCTTGTCTTCAAGAACGCCTGGAGATTGTTTTCAACACTCTCGTCAAAAGGTAAGGCGGAGACTCTGTAGGATATGAACTTGTCGGTATCTGATAACAGAAATGATAAAGTCACAAGAAGGGCATTCTGGGAGTCTGTGAAATGGTCATGCCCCCGGTGGTGGGAGAATGTCATGGAATCCAGTCACCAGCTTATGGAACCATGGAGACTTACACAAGATCACTTCCACAGCAGAATCTGTGATAGAACCAAGGAGTCCTGTTTTCCGAACTCTCTGTTATAACCTAATAAAGAGCCCCGTGTTCCCCCCCCCCACACACTTTTGTGAAGGTCTTATTCCCCAACACAATGACGACATCCGGAAATGATGTCATTGCGCCAAGGACGTCATGCGGGGATGCTCTGGTATTTGGGCAAACTCTATCGTTTTGAGGCTGAAAAAGCCATAGAGTTTGCCCAAATACCAGAGCATCCATGGCACGATGTAATCACTTCTGGGTGATGTCATTGCATTGGGGACATCATGCAATGTCCCCACCCATCCCTGGAACGCCCCCTAAAGTCCCCCGCTCCAGCCAAGGTAAGACCTAGCAACCCTAGGTAATCCATTTTGATCCTCAGCGAGAAAGGCAGACTATGAATGAGGTAACTAAATAAATAAATAAATTGCAACTTGCACACATCCATGCTTACATAACCATAGATAGACAGGCAGGGAAGCTTTCACTTGGAAATGCCTCGCTAAGCTTGTCTACAGGCAAGCAAAGAAATTCCTTTGCTGGGACCAAGACCAAATGGCACCGCTCAATCTGAATGTAAATGTTCACCACCACACCTCTCGTTCAATTTAGTTGCTCCTCGCAGCTTGTGCAAACTTGGCTTTGACATGCAAAATTTGTATTGGGGGGGGGGGGAAGCAACCCAACTGATCCAGCATCTTTCCGAACAGGTTTGAAAGCCTGGTGGACGTTTGTTTCAAGCTTCGCCAGCAGGTAGTAGCCCTGGCGGCTCAGCTGGGCGCTGATCTTCAGTCTTGTCTTCAAGAACGCCTGGAGATTGTTTTCAACACTCTCGTCAAAAGGTAAGACGGAGCCCCATTACAGAAGGGCTCAGATCATAGTATCATGGGTCTGAAGGGGAACTTGGTGGCAGCCGCTGAGTATAGTTTATCCTATCCCCCGTTTCAAAGCGGGGCATTTCCCTTACCAACTCCCGAGAATTAAAGCATCTACATTTCATTGTGCCACAAGTGGACACGGCGCCCCTCCTCAAGTTGCTGAGCAGGTAGCTTTGTCCAATCCAATCCAATTGAGTCCAATCCAATCCAATAGAATTTTAGCCATAGGCCATAACAAAGTTACAGAGCATTCAACTACAACAATAAAATAATACAATAAAATAGATAAAAGAATAAAACCTAAAATCACATACATAGGATGTTAAATTATACAGTAGAGTGGCAGTGGTTTAAAATGACCTGCATGTTATAAGAATGACCCCTGTGGTACCGCTCTGGCTCTAATCTTTTTGGCCGCAGGGGCAAAAAGGGAGACTCTGTAGGATACGAACTTGTCGGTATCTGATAACAGAAATGATAAAGTCACAAGAAGGGCATTCTGGGAGTCTGAAATGGTCATGCCCCCGGTGGTGGGAGAATGTCATGGAATCCAGTCACCAGCTTATGGAACCATGGAGACTTACACAAGATCACTTCCACAGCAGAATCTGTGATAGAACCAAGGAGTCCTGTTTTCCGAACTCTCTGTTATAACCTAATAAAGAGCCCCGTGTTCCCCCCCCCCACACACTTTTGTGAAGGTCTTATTTAGATATAAGAGGGTAAGGAGAGCCCTTCTGGATCAGACCAGTGGTCCATCTCGTCCAGCATCCTGTCTCTCATAGTGGCTAACCTTCTGGAGGGCCAACAACAGAGAATAGAGGGTGAGGCTGTCCCCTGATGTTGCCTCCTGGCACTGGGAATCAGAGGTTGACTGCCTCTTAGCATGGAGGGTTCCCTTTAGTCACCACGGCTAGTAGCCACTGATAGACCTATCCTCCATGAATCCAACTAATCCGCTGCTGTCAATGCCTATAGCCATCGCTACATCCACTGGCAGCGAATCCCACGTTTGAATCACTGTCCGTATAAAGAAGTATTTCCCTTTGCCCGCCCTGAACCTACTGCCCATCGGCTTCATCGGATGCCCTCAAGTTCTAGTCTTTTGGGAGAGGGAGAAAAATTGTCTCTTTGTCAGCTCTCTCTCCACCTCGTGCTTAATTTTATAAACCTCTATCATGTCCCCTCTTAGTTCATCTCTTTTCTAAGCCGAAAAGTCCCAGTTTCTTCAGGCGTTACGAGGGAGACGGAGCCAAGGCTGCTACTGCCCTGTAGCATCTGTCTTCACACGGTCCAAGACGTGACCTCATTGTGTGGTGAAGTCTCCCGTCCGCACCTTGGATTCTTGGCAGTGTTGTGCACCGCACGGCAGCATCCCTCCGCATGCTGTGTAGCTGCAGAGATTGCTGGGAAGGGAAAGAAAGAGAAACAGACTGGCGGTGGCTCCCCGTCTCTTGCCAGATCTCGATAGGTCCTGTGATAAGATCAATAAAGAATCCTGACTGCGAGCTGCCTGTTGCATAACAGTGACAGGTGACCGCCAGAAGATTTAAGATGCATTCCTGATATATTATTACAGCTGCCTGAGAGAATTTAAGGGGGTTTTTTTTGTGCAGCATCGTTCATTCTTGAGCTTTATTTGTTCTGTTTCAGAGATCTGGCAGAGGTTGTGAATATGACTGTGATGTAGGGTTGCCAGGTCCCCCCCTGGCCATCTGTGGCGGATGGGGGGGGTAGGATTGCCAACCCAGGTTGGGAAACTCATGAAGATTTGGGGAGGGCATCCAAAGCATCTATTTTCTCCAAGGGAACTGATCTCTGTGGTCTGGAGATGAGGTGTGATTTCGGGGGATCCCCAGGCCTCCACATGCAGGCTTTTTGGTGTAGTGGTTAGGAGTGTGGACTTTAATCTGGGAGAACATAAGAGACGCCAATGTTGGATCAGGCCAAAGGCCCATCCAGTCCAACACTCTGTGTCACACAGTGGCCAGAAATACCAGGTGCCATCAGGAGGTCCACCAGTGGGGCCAGAACTGGGTTTGATTCCCCACTCCTCTACATGCAGCTGCTGGTCACAAGTTCTCGAAAGAGCTCTCTCAGCCCCTCTAGCTCACAGGGTGTCTGTTGTGGGGAGGGGAAGGGGAAGGAGACTGTAAGCTGCTGTGAGACTCCTTTGGGTAGTAAAGGGCGGGGTATAAATCCAATCTCCTCTTCTTCTTCTTCTGCCATGCCTACTGAGATGACCCAGTGACAGTCTTTGCACATTTCACTGAAGCATGGAATACTTCTTGCTACCTATCTTATTTATTTATTTGGGGAAACAGTTTGTCCCTTTCCCCCCTCCCACTCGAGGGACTCAAAAAGGCTTATAAAATGAAGTCCGCAAACCCAAACACAATATAAACAAAGACTTACAATCCAGCATGTCCTCCCAATATACCTTTGAAAGCAGGTGATGAGCCAGAGGGTTGTACCAGCCAGGTACTAGTTCCATCACCATGGTTCACAGAGGGCCATAGCTGTGAGCCACAGGCTAAGATGCAAAGGGCTAAGAGCCCTTTGGCTCATTCCAATGCCTCGTGCCTCTGGCCACACCCAGTCTTTAAGTTACCTGCAGACAGAGAGGGACAAATGCTCTGCCCCGGTTCTTGTTCAGCCGGTGGTTTCTGGGTTCCCACTCTCTCACTCCAGAAGGAGGACTCTGAAATGATAGGCCCATCAGCAGCCGGTTTTACAGGAAGGCCATTTTGAGAAAGTGGTGGAGAGCTGTGGGTCGGGGTTGTATGCTCATTCGGGTGGATCCAGGTGGATTATCAGTACGCAGGGCTCTTTTTCAGAAGAAAGCCCAGCAAGAACTCATTAGCATAATAGGCCACACCCAACAGCAGGAACTCATTAGCATATTGGGCCACACCCTGGACAGCACAGCTCATTAGCACATTGGGCCGCACCCACATGTTACCAGGAGTGTGCTCATCCAGCTTCTTATTCTGTTTACCTTGTCTGTTGTCAAAACCCAGGGCCTTTTTTTGTAGCAGGAACTCCTTTGCATGTTAGGCCACACACCCCTAATGTAGCCAATCCTAATGAGTTCCTGCTGTTGGGTGTGGCCTATTATGCTAATGAGTTCCTGCTAGGCGTGGCCAACTCGGGAGCCAGCCGGAACTCCGTTCCTGTGCGTTCCTGCCCAAAAATAGCCCTGATCAATAGGGTTGCCAGATCTACGTTGGAAGATACCTGGAGATTTGGGAATGGGGTGGAGTGTGGGGAGGGTGGGGTTTGGAGGGAGAAGGGAGCTCAGCAAGGTATAGTACCATCCCATCCATCTTCCAGAGCTGCCGTTTTCTCTGTAGTCCGGAGACCCGTTGTAATTACTGGAGATCTCCAGCCATCACCTGGAGGTTGGCAGCTCTGATTGTCTACAAGCCATGGCTGTGACACACCTTTCGCGCCCCTCTGAGCCGGCAGTTGGACATGGGGGTGGGAACTCTTCAAGGGGCTGGATTTGGCTGCCAGTTTTTTATCCCTGTTCTAGGGCGGTGTTTTCTTTTCTGATCCTTCTTGATTGCGGGTCACCTGACCTCTTGCCATGTCTCCTTGAAGCGCCTTCCTGGTGGACAAACAACCCCCTCAAGTTCTGAAGACCCAGACCAAATTTCAAGCCACCGTCCGTTTCCTGCTTGGCTCTCAGCTGTTCAAAGTTCCTCAGACGTCCTTCTCAGTCTCGGCCAACATCGTAACAGAGAAACAAGCACGGGAACTGGCTGCCGGGCATCCTGACGCCAGCCTCTGGTGAGTGAAGCCCTTGCAACTGCATTGTCAGTTTTCCTAGGCTGTTTTGAGGGTGCCCAGGGATCAAGATTCCTCAGTTATGGCTGTTATGCAGATCAACAGGGTCCTACTTCTCTGACTCTTGAACTTAGCCTCTTCAATTGTTCCTTGCACGTGATCATCTCCAGAGAGCCAGTTTGGTGTAGCGGTTGGGAATGCGGACTCTAATCTGGGAGAACCGGGTTTGATTCCCCACTCCTCCACATGCAGCTGCTGGTGTGCCCTTGGTCAGTCACAAGTTATCTCAGAGCTGTTCTCTCAAGAGCAGTTCTCTCAGAGCTCTCTCAGCCCCACCTACCCCACAGGGTGTCGGTTGTGGGGAGGGGAAGGGAAAGGAGATTGCAAGCCGGTCTGAGACTCCTTCAGGTAGTGAAGGGCAGGGTATAAATCCATCCATCTCCTCCTCCTCCATTTCTTCTTCTTCTTCCCACATCACCAGTGTTCCCTCTAAGCTGAGTTAGTGTGATTGAGCTCACAGTTTTTTAGCTTCCGGCTCACAGATTTCTGTCTTCGCTCAGGAAGGATGGCTCCAGGGCAAACTAATTTATGCAGTAGCCAATTCGCTCGCTCACAACTTCAGTGCCAATAACTCACATGGTAGGATTTTTGCTTACAAGACTCCACAGCTTAGAGGGAACACTGCACATCACCCTTTTTCCATGGTCTTCTCTTTGTTTATCCCACTGCTGCCCTGACCTGGATGCCCCAAGCTAGCCTGGTCTCATCAGATCTCGGAAGCTAAGCAGGGTCAGCCCTGGTTAGTATTTGGATGGGAGACCACTAAGGAATACCAGGGTCACTCGCTACTCAGAGGCAGGCAGTGGCAAACCACGTCTGCTTCTCTCTGTCCTGATCTGGACGGCCCAGGCTAGCCCAATCTCGTCAGATCTTGGAAGGTTAAGCAGGGTCAGCCCTGGTTAGTACTTGGATGGGAGGCCACCAAGGAAGTCCATTTATTTATTCATTTACTGTCCTTGCAGCCATAGTCATAAACAGCAAAACCCTCATCCCACAATAAACTTCATTCCGCAGAAAAACATGGAAGGATTTAAAGGGTTGCTATTGCAAAAGGTTGTCTTGTGGTTTGACAACAGCTGCTGGAAATCTTGCCACACGCAGGGTAGTTTGCTTGTCTTCGTCTCTAAGGAACCAGGACGATTTTGCTTTTGGAGAGAGGGAGTCCTGATGAAATAAAGGGGAGATCGGTTCATCTCTTAGAGCTGAAACTTTGGGACCAAGGAAGTCCAGGGTTGCTACGCAGAGGCAGGCGATGGCAAACCACCTCCGAAGGCTCTTGCCTTGAAAGCCCCACAGGGCCACCGTTAAGTCAGCGGCGACTTGAGGGCCCTTTCCTACCGCCACTGTCCCACTGCCTTTTGTTTTCCAAGCACACAGCGCTGTCCATCCAATCCCCAGCCAGATTACAATGTGTGCTGCACACAGAGGAAAATTAGTAGTCAAGCATAGTCAGCTCTGAACCCTGAACAGCTGCTTTGCCTAGGGAAAACCATAAACTGTGCAGGTGGAAGATTTTATAGGTGTTTGGGATGGGTGCGCAGAAAGGCAGTAAACATTTATTTGATAGCAGGCACCTGAGCACCTGCTATCCTAAGCAGAGTTGCACATTTCTAAGTCCATTGAAACCAGTGAGCTTACGAGGGCGTAACTCTATTTATGCTGCTGGAATGGGCCGCAGCAGGGATTGGCACACAGATAGACATGTATCATTTGATTTAGGATCCAGTTTCATTTGCAGCGTGTTGACAAGCCCATCCCGTGTACGCCATTTTACATGTTTCGACTTTCCTCGTCTTTTTAGCCGTTCAGCATTTTATTAAGTAACTGTAGCAGGACAGTAGCAGTAACAACATAATACAGTATAATAAAATACAGGCATAAAGAATAATCATTAACCCCTAATAATAGTTGGCTTACAAGATGTGCAATATACTACAGCAACCATTTGGCAGGAATGTTACAGTCCCATGACAATGGCAATTTAAATATATAATAATAATAAATTGAAATAGAAACAATCGATCCCTAAGAGTAGCTAGCAGACAGAAAGTGCAGGAAACTTCAATAGCAGAGCAGTAGGAAAAGTATATAGTGCTGAAATTCATTCCTGTGGTGGTATTTCAAACTTGGAAACATCGGTAAACAACATTCACAGCTAATCCGTAGTACTAAGAGTGATCAGTAGCTTTTAGATAAGCAGACCTCGGAGGAAGTAATCTGTGCACTGACATGGACTCCAGAACAGGTTACCATTTCTCAGTAAAGCCTGAAGGTCTAGGGCGCAATTTGTATCACAATAAGCAGCTTTTCCATCACATAGACAGCTTTCTATCATATTGGTATGTCAGGTGCCTGTTGATGGAGAGCAAACCCAAAAAATTTTCCTAGTCCGAAACTAGGAAAAGTTAGAAGGTGAAGGGAGTGTGTCTTTTCTGGTTTGAGCTGCAGTTACAGAAGCAGCCGTTAACATGTTAATGAAAAGAAAAAACCTATCTAAAAGAATTTTATAGCTGTAGATAGTTACGGTTTCAGTGCTGAAAGCTGCCAAAATCGTGGTTATAGTTCTGTTGCAGGTGAGGACTCGCGTAATTTACCGCAGTGGGAGAAGATGAGGCAATTGATTTGGGGTACTGATAACCTAACCCCCAATTAATACAAGGAAGCAGATGTTTAATCTGCATCGTCCTTGGTTTACCCTTGCCCAGCCTGCCTGGGGCGAGCCAGTTTGCCTTGTCTGGTGGGAAAGTTCCAGTGACTTGAGGTAATGGCTACAGTTCTTTATGAAAGGTCTGGGGAGAAGGGTGTGTGTGTGTCATTTCCCTTCTCCATCCGGGTTGCCTTGCACAAATGGCTACAGTTCTTTATGAAAGGTCTGGGGAGAAGGGCGTTGTGATGACACCTCCAGCTTCATAACCATGTCGTGGATCCGAGGGTCTCCTAGAGCGTCCTGCAACGTGGTGACATCAGTCCTGATTATGCCACTGGAGGTGATGTTGCGAGTGTCGCAGGATGCCGTTTCAGCCTCCGCATTTTCCCCTTGCCAGCCTGTAAAATGGTAATCCGATAGGATAGTGAGACACCCAGTCTATGTTGAAACGCAAAGTAATTAACTGTGCCTAGCGTCAATAACCATTGCAAAAATCAATAATTAATGGTGATTAAAGAATAATTCATTTACAGACGAACCATAAACAAATAGTTTCGGAGCCGTTGGAGCAGATGCCTTCTGGAAACTTGTTTTCCCCCCTTTTACACTGTGAAGCAAATTGCTCATTAGGAGGGGCTGAGCACTTTGGAGTGTTTTGCACTTTGTGAGCGATATGCAGGACTTACGTTAAATCATTTATGCCCCGATTGTGAATTGTTTATTGTATGAATCATTTCGCTTAGGATTTGGAAACCGTGTAAATGGTTTGTTGATTTATCTGTAAATGAACTATTCTTTAGTTATCATTATTTATTGATTTTTACAGTTGTTATTGCACACAGTTAATTTCTTTGTGTTTAGCCTGTAAAATGGCGGCAGGAGACCAAGGCTGAGAAGGGGAGGCTGACTGCTAAAGCTGGCGACCTGGCCTCCCTGTTCTCCATATCCTTCACCGAAAAAAGATATTTATTTAAAATATTTAGATTCCACTTTTCTGGAATTAGTAACCACTGAAAGCAGTTTCCATACATACTGACGGGCATCTAGAGACTCCCTGCATGTCAGGAAAATGGCATGAGGAGGGGACTTAGAATCATAGAGTTGGAAGGGGCCATACAGGCCAACCCCCTGCTCAGTGCAGGATCAGCCTAGAGCATCCCTGACAAGTGTTCATCCAGCTGCTGCTTGAAGACAGCCAGTGAGGGGAAGCTCCCCACCTCCCTAGGCAGCCGATTCCACTGCTGAACTACGTAAAAGGCCCCTCCCCCTGCGCACCATAGTCCTGATCTGAACCAACCCCTACACATCTGAGATTTAACTTCTGAGCTTGGAACTTCCAGTACATGTCTAGTAGGCAGGACCTGTGGTGGACATATGGGAGATACAAGGACTCAGGCCCATAGCTATGGTGGGGCTTTTGGATCTTCATCCCCTTTCTTAAAGACACGGCCCCACAAGAATTTCTCCTGTAAATGCTTTTTAAAATCATGTTTAGACATTTTTTAAAAAGCATGCACTCCTTTAAGCAGAGCTGACCTAATTCCCGCACTGAGCAAGGGGGTTGGCGTAGGTGACCTCTAGGATCCCTTCTAACTCTGTGTCAAGAAACTGGTCTCCTTTAAGAGAGCTTTTCTGCCTAAGTGTTAGCTTTCTTGACTATAGAAGTCATCACCCCCCACCTGCTCGCTTGTTGTCAGAACTGCTGCTTAGGCTGGCAGAAGTGATTAGCTTGCAGCAGCTGAGAACTGTCATCTAAAGCGGTCGACAGCTTGCAACTTAGAGATCTAGCCTGGTCACAGGTTTCCATTGGCTAAATGGCTTTTCTTTCTGCACTGAGAACTTCAGCCCCACCAGGGGAAAAAAATTGCCCCACAAGCCACAAAGTCCTGGTTACGGGCCTGCAAGGACTTTGTAACTTGTGGCTATACTGTGAGCGTAGAGTGTTCAGATGAAAGTGGTGGTGTCAGTAGAAGGTGTCAGCAGAACAGGTTTTTGTCATGGGGGGGGGAGCTGTTTCCCCAAGGACTGAGAGAGTGTCCGAGAACCTGCCTGATGATCTCGGATGCCTGTGGACCATCCCGAGCTTATCTGAAGCAGAGAGAAAGAGACTGGATTCATGAGGGTCATGTGTCACACTTTCCAGCCCCTCTCTTGCTGTTGGGGTGCACAGGTAAAGAAGGCAGTTTGGGATGTGCTCTTGTCAGATTTCTGAGCCGATCTCTGTCCATGCAGGAAGGCTGATGTACAGTTCCATTTCAGCCTTCCTGAGCTTCAGAATGCGATTTCAGTCAGGGTTCCAAGTGAGTGGACTCCATTTGGGATTATTGCTGGGCCACCTCTGTTTGTCCAGCAGTTCTGAAAGAAAAACTGAAAACATCTTGGAAGCAGCTTGGTATATATTTGGATTTCTTTTCCTTGTTTGATTTATGGATTGGAAAAGAAAATTCCTCAAGGGTTGGGCGGGTGCCTGTTGTTATCTGACAATATTGTTTTCTGGTTAATGCAGATGACGTCTTCCGTTCCTTCTATTCTTAGAGTTAGTTAAATATTGAAAGAGTATTTCTGTGCAAATGTAGAACAAAGTTTGAGTCCAGTGGCACCCTTAAGACCAACAAAATGCTATTCGAGGTATAAGCGTTTGTGTGCATGCACGCTTCTTCAGATACAGTGAAACAGAATTTCCTCAACCATTACATATAGAAAGAGAGAGGGTGGAGGGGTTAGTTGCCGGGAAGGGCCAATTAGAGTCAAGCAGAGGTCATTTCGGGGGGGGATCGTGGGGGATCGCAGATCCCCCGGGTGAGGTGCAGGGGGCGGGGCACACGACAAAGCCCCGCCCCTTCTTCCGGCCGCCCCCTTCTTCCAGCCTCATTCTGTTGCAGAAGAAGGAAGAAGCAGGAGGGTAAGTTGGCGTCCTCCCCTTCTGCCTGGCCGAGGCCACTCCACGTGGCCTCCGCAAGGACTCCCAGCCCCATCCAGGAGCTTCCCCGAGGTAGCTGTGTTAGTCTGTTGCTGCAAAATAGTCCAAGAGTTCAAATAGCACCTTTAAGACTAACAGATATCACCTTTAAGACTAACCTTTAAGACTAAGACTGAGTGGTGGGTGTGGCCTTATGACACAGTTCTGGTGATGTCAGGGATGTGTGGCCTCATGACACACTTCCGGTGATGTCAGGGGGTGTGGCATATGCTAATGAGTTATGCTAATGAGTTCCCCTAGCTCTTTTTCTACGAAACGACCCCTGGAGTCAAGACAGAGGCAGAAACTGGACTCACACTTTGTCCTGCTGCTTCAGACCAACACGGCTACCCACCTGGACCTGTGTAAATGTGTTTTAGATTTGGCCAAAGTACATGAATTAAAACCATAGCTGATTCAAACCCTCCTGATTGAACCCAGCATACTCTGCTACAATTCCTATTTGTAAAGCTGGTGTGGTAGTAGATGATAAGAATGTCGGTCTAGGTGGATCCTGGGAGACCCAGATTTGAATTCCCACTTCTCCTGTGGAAGCTGGCGTTGTGACCTTGGGCCAGTCACACATCCCCTCAGCCTAACCTACCTTTACACGGTTGTCGTTGTTGTGAGAAAATGGAGGACGGGAGAACAATGGTCTTAAGCTGCTTCGAGTCTTTATTAAGAAGAAAAGTGGGAAGGGGACGGCAAAGGATGAGATGGCTAGACAGTGTTATCGAGGCAACGGACATGAAATTGAGCAAACTCCAGAGCACGACGGAAGACAGGAGGGCCAGGCGTGATGTGGTCCATGGGGTCGCAAAGAGTCGGACTCGACTGTGCAACTGAACAACAACAACAACAACAACAACAATAGAACAGCAGAACTGTTTTCATGCACTCCCCCCCCCCCTCGTCAATAACCTTCTGTGATTCTGTTCTGCAAATTTTGGGTGCGGCATGGACTGAACCAAGGAGAAGTTGGTTGCTTCTCTGAAAAGGAAGGTGAATGCTAGTTTATTTGTCACTGTTTATACCTGCGTGGTCATCTTGGCTAGCAGCTCTGTAGCCTAGTACTGTCATTATCCTCAAGTGTTTTGAATTTTAGTATAATGCATAAGCCTGTATATGGCGCTGTACACTTTTTTTAAGTGGAGAGCTCTATGGTTGCTTCCAAAGAAAATTAGCATTATGCGGTGTACAGGGGGCTGGTTAGTTTCTCTAGGACTGTTGCAACAAAATTGTTCAGTCACTCTGAAGAAGTTACACCTGTCTCAGGCGGCCTGCACTTACAAATACTTGCTGATAAAGGTAAAGGTAAAGGTTCCCTTGCTCGAAAGCCAGTCGAATCCGACTCTAGGGTTGCGGTGCTCATCTCCGTTTCAAAGCCGAAGAGCCAGCGCTGTCTGAAGACGTTTCTGTGGTCATGTGGCCGGCATGTCTAAACACCAAGGCACACGGAACGCTGTTACCTTCCCACCGAAGTGGTACCTATTTATCTACTTGCAATTTCTTGCTTTTGAACTGCTAGGTTGGCAGGAGCTGGAACTAGAGATGGGAGCTCACTCCATCATGCGGCACCCGGGTCTTGAACTGCTGAACTACTGACCTTCCACAGCCTGCAGTTCAGCGTCTTAGCCTACATACATACATATTCTCTTCCTGTCTGCTGATCTGTCTTTCTGTGTTTCAGTGAAAGCACAGGAGAAATTGTGAACAACGTAGCCCCTCTAGAGACCGCTACCACAAGCAATGCCTGCTGTGCTGTCTTCAAGAATATGGTAGGTGAACTTTTATCCCAGGTTGGGGGCAGGGCTGCGATACAGATGCATGGGTGGGTGGAAAGGATATCCACTGATGTTGCATTGGTTAGAGGTTGGGATAAAGATGTGTGGGTAGAAGTGGGGTAAGGCCCTTGCCCCACTGGGTTTATTTGTTAGTAGCTAGTACACTTTTATCCTCTTCTTCGTCAAAAGAGTCAAGCACAAGGAGGTATGCTATGGTAAGGGAGAAACCAGGGAACAGACTGGTAGATATGGTGGGTCATTCAGGGGCAGCGCCGCACTCAAAATTGGTTATGCCCCACCAATCAGCACTGTTGACTTCCCCTCATCCCGTCTCATCTGGTACCTAGTTTCAAGGCTCTGTATAGGCTGCCAGAATCTGTTGGCTCCTTTATTGGAAGTTACATAGAAACCATCAAGAGGAGAAGCAATGGGATTGCTAGAACAGCCCAAACAGAGAGAGGGAGACAGACAGAGACACAGAGAGAGAGAGAATGGCCACTTTCTCACTGTCAGCTGAGCCTCAAGGACATTGAGCAACTGCTACATATTAGAATGTTGCTCTGCCTGCCAAAAGCCCCAGAGTTGAGATGTTTCACCTACGTGATGTGTTGCTGCTGTTCCCATGCTCACCGAAGGTGTGGCACCTTTGCTCTTTGCGTGAAAGGGAGCAATTTCTTGCTTTTTAGTATAATGCATAAGCCAGTATATGGCGCTGTACACTTTTTTTAAGTGGAGAGCTCTATGCGAGGGTCTCTGTAGGAACACACGACCAAACAGGGACACACGACCAACCATGAGCTGAAGAGCGTTGTCCTAGGGAACAAGTGGGCTGTGGGGGCAGAAATAGCTGAGAGATGAGGTTTGGAACAGAACTTTCCAAAACAGGGGTGAAAGTTGCAGCCTGGGGTGCCCCCCCCACCCCCACACCTGACAACGCTGTGTGGTTTGTCTTTCTCATCCTTTAGCTTCTAAAGAAAATCAAGCGCAGCGACCGCAAGAGCACAGAGTCTGTGACCGAAGAGAAATGTGCTGTCCTCTTCAGTGCCAGAATCAACCTAGGCTCCAACAGTACCACCTTTCTGCTGCAGGTAATTCTGGGATGATCTCATTCTTCAGACTGCAGGTGGCAGTGCTGGTATACTGACGGTATTGTATGACTCCTTTGGAGGGGAACCCACGGGCTCCTCATACACGATCAAATACCACTGGTTGTTTCGTTGGTTGTTCACATAGATTAGAGTAAATGTGTAGAAGAATAATTCGTTTTAAAAAAATTCTCCTCTGTTTTTCTCCCAATGGAGACCTATTATGAAATGGGGGCAGGGCCATGTGGGTTTGACACAACCGGGAGGTCCCTTCCGGAGATCTCTCCCTTCCCACACACCCCACTTCCTCCTGCCCACTTCAGGCCTAGCACAGACAAGGGCCTTAACCGACTGCAACCACTCTGGCTCTAGGGGTTTACCAGAGAGGGCCCAGAGCACCCTCCCTGCCCCCAGGCAACCCCATCTTTAGTCCATCTGATGCGCAGCAACGTGTCTGTGTCCCTGCCTACATGTTCCATGAGTAATGTCATCACCTCCAGGATGCCAGAGTTATGCTCTGGTATTTGGGCAAAAACTCTATGGTAGAAGCTAAATTTACCATAGAGTTTTGCTCAAATACCAGAGCTAATAGTTATAGTAATGCTCGGTCACATCCCCTTCCTATATACTGGTGGTTGCAATCAATACTCCCTCTAAGCTGTGGAGTCTTGTGAGCAAACATTCTACTTTGTGAGCTACTGGCATTAACATTGTGGGCGAGAGATTTGTCTACTGCATAAATTAGTTTGCTCTGGAGCAGTGTTCCCTCTAAGCTGAGTTAGTGTGAGCTAGCGCACAGTTTTTTAGCCTCCAGCTCACACATTTTTGTCTTAGCTCAGGAAGGATGGCTCCAGAGCAAACTAATTTATGCAGTAGCCAAATTGCTCGCTCGCTCGCAACTTTCATGCCAGGAGCTCACAAAGTAGGATTTCTGCTCACAGGACTGCACAGCTTAGAGGGAGCGTTGTTCTGGAGCCATCCTTTCTGAGCGAAGACAAAAATATGTGAGCCAGAGGCTAAAAAACTGTGAGCTACCTCACACTAACTCAGCTTAGAGGGAACACTGGTTGCAATATCTGAGGTGGTTGTTCCTATCTCAGTAGATCGTTGTGTGTATGAGGCTCAGTCAGGTTAAGAGCATCTGTGTGAATGATAGAGAAGCATCAGGCAAGCTCGGGGGGTTTTCAGAGAAGAGCATGGTTTGTATCCAAGATTGTGATAGCACAGTCTGAAACTGAGGTGTCAAATTATTTTTTTTGGCAGGGGAAAATAAGAGACAAGGGAGGAAATTCTGACTTTTGAAGGGCTTGTAATGTGGTGGGACTTCAGGGGTTTGATCAAGGCAGCGTCAGTGCTCTCGTTCTGGTGAAGATCCAAAGGTCATTGGACACGGTTGAATGTGGAAGAGCACCGAGGGGAATAGATGCATCTGGCTTACTGGCTGCTTTAAATGCTGTTGAGAGAGCCGTGGCGTTTGGCTGAGGAGAGCACCTGGGGAGTTGAGCTGAGGGGCGCTGGAACAGTTCTGTGGAAATTAATATTAGATAATTATTTGTTTGTCAGGGAGATTTGTGTCCAGCTTGTTTGGCCAGCTCATCACAATGTTTACACAGATTCTGTTTCATAAATGAAATCAGATTTCAGTTTTGAGAAGGGCTCAGGCCAACCGAGCAGATGTGTGAAGGCATTGTGAACTGTGTGCCTCCATCCTCCGCTTCTCTCTCACACAGGAGAGTTGGTCTTACATGGCTGCCGAGGGGGAGAGAGGGTCAGCCTGGCTGAGCCAGGAGGACCAGGTGTCTTCTGATGAACATAAGAGACGCCAATGTTGGATCAGGCCAAAGGCCCATCCAGTCCAACACTCTGTCACACAGTGGCCAAAAATACCAGGTGCCCATCAGGAGGTCCACCAGTGGGGCCAGGACATTAGAAGCCCTTCTTCTTCTTCACACACCCCTTCCTATTTATTTTTTATTTATTTTTAATCCTGCCCTTCTTTTAAGGAGCTCAGGGCTCATATATTGGTCTGTCCTCCTTAATTTTAATCTGACAGGAAACCTGTGAGGTAGGTTAACCTAAGAGTATATAACTGGCCAAAGGTCACTCAGTGAGCTTTGTGGCGGAGTGAGGAGTTGAACCACCCAGCCTGAGGAAGAGTGCAGGAGAACTCAAAAGCCTATACACTATTTTGTGTCATTTTGGTCGGTATTTATTTATTTATTTATTTATTTATTTTATTTCACTTATACCCCGCCCTCCCCGCAAGCGGGCTCAGGGCGGCTTACATAGGCACAACTGTGCAATAAAATACAACAGCATTAAAACAGTTAAGGCACCAAGTGCAATAAAAATAGAACAAGTTAAAACAATTAAAACAAAAACTCACATCTTGCAGGATACATTAGGAACTAAAATACCCCCTATTGTATATCGCGGTGGGATCAATAGGGGGGATTCCATGGGCCAAGATGTTCCAGATGGCCAGTTGGCCCAACCCGGCAGTCCTGCTCTGCAGTTACTCGGTGGTGGTGGCGGCGGCGGCTCCTACTCAAAAGCCTGAGGTCTGATGTGGAATGTGGTTTGGTTTTGGATTTGGGGTTTGCACCAGTAGGGCTGTAAACCACCTTTGTCTACTGTAATAGTTTAAGTTAGATTTGAGTCCAGTAGCACCTTAGCGACCAATATTGTTATAAGCTTTCAAGTGTCAAAACTCCTTTCCTCAGACATGAGAAATCAGCCTTGGTAATGAGACAGGAAACTTAGGTCTTGATTCAGTCCAGGTGGATACATTGTCTTGAGCTTCATTATCAGTGGCAATTTAGCAGTCTGTCTTTCTAATCTCCCTTTGAAATTCATTTGGAAGAGAACTGCAACTTTTAGGTCAGCAACTGAATGTCCTGGAAGGTTAAAATGGAGATCTGAGTCTTTTTATCCCATTCAGGAGGTGGGAGGAATTTTGTAAAGAATGCTTGTACAGGATGTAGAGGTACAATGCATGTTGTAATCCCCTGATTAGAGCAGAGGGGAAATGCTTGGGGGCAGAAAATTAGCATTTGTATTGAGGTAAGAATCCTACGTCCCTATTCAGCCCTGGGGGATCCATTGTACTCAACTTGTGAATGAACTCATGTTCAGCCACCTCAAGTTGTAATTTCCCCTTGGAGTGTCTTTAGAGGACTGTTGTTCTTCTGTCAGCAATGGAGTGACCTGGAAAGTTACAATATTTTCCCACTGGTTTTTGAGTGTTGTGGTTTTTAATGTTGGATTCATGTCCATTTATTCTTTTGCAGAGGGAGTGACTGACCTGTTTGTCCGATGTAGAGAGTGGAAGGGCATTGCTGACATCGGATGGCATATGCAGGGGTCTTTTCCTAGAAAAAGAGCTGCAGGAGCTCACTAACATACGGTATGCTAATGAGCTACTAGGCTATTAGCATAATAGCTCATTAGCATATGCAACACCCCCTGACATCACTAAAAGTGATGTCAGAAGGGGAAGCAAAAGGGGGGGAAGGCATATTCAAAAGCCTCCCCTTCCCTTCCCCAGCCGGGGAGGGGGGGGGGAAGCGAAGAGAGAAGGGGTTTAAAGTTTAAACCCCTTCTCACTAGAGTTGAGCCGCGGAAGGAGGAAAGAGGGAAGGAAAGAGAGAGAGTGTGTGTAGAGAGAAGGAACGAAGGAATGAAAGAGTGAAAGAGAAGGAAAGAAGGAAGGAAAGAGGAAAGGAAAGAGAAGGAAAGAAGGAGGGAAAGAAAGAGAGAGAAGGGAAGAAGGAAGAGAAAGAAAAGGAGGGAAAGAAAAGGGGAAGGAAAGGAGGGAAGGAAGAGAGCAAAGAGATGGGGGAGGCTCCCTGATGATTAGGGAGACCACTGCACTGCACTATTTCAGCCCAGATGCTGTAAAGTGCAGTGCTCCAACGCTGGCCCGGGGAGGCGGCAGGGGGCCGCAGCGCAGGGAGTTGGGGGCGGGGCTTGCTGCCACTGTCATTTGTTCTGGCGCCTGGGCTCCTGGAGCGGCACTCCGGCGCACTCCGGCCCCAAAAGACCCCTGGGCATATGTAATGTTGGAAGATGAACAAGTGAGATTGTATGGGTGGTGTTGTTTGGTTAAGGGATTGTCAGAGTGGATATGGGGACAGAGTTGGCATCTTGGTTTGTCGCAGGCCCTGGTTCCAGAATCCTTGTCTATGTTCAGAAGGATATTGCTGTGGGTGTGAAGTTTAAGGTTAGGAGGTTTTCTGTGGACAAGAAAAGGTTTGCCTTGCAATGCCTGTGAGAGGAGAGCATCATTGTCCACCAAAGGTTGTAGTCATTAGTGATGCATTGAACCGGTTTGAGCTGAGAGCTGTATGGGACCACCAGTGGTGTTCAGTTCTTTCTTTTGGGCCTGTCTTGTAGCAGGGTATCCCTTGATATCACTTTGGCTTTGTTGCTCCATTTCCTTACTACATCAGGTGGATATTGTAGTTCCAGGTGAGAATCTCTGTCTGAGGGATTGAACAGGTGCAGCTGTAGCATAGAGCTTGGCTGTAGGCAATGGATTTGTTTGGTGTGTTTAGGATGGTGACTGGAGGCGTGTAGATGTGTTTGGTGATCAGTAGGTTTCTGGTATAAGGTGGTTTTTATACTTCCATGGTGTATTATGTATCTGTACGGTGATGTCTAGAAACTGTGTTTCTTATGTGGATTGGTTCATGGTCAGGAGGTTGGTGGTGGGGTGGAAGTTGCTGAAGTCTGGGCTTGAATCTGTTCCACTGCAGACCAACTGTAATAGTTTAGCCTGACTCATGGGGAGAGGCAGACTGGTGTGGTCAGAACCCCCGTCTGTGAGAGGTTTAGGCCGCAGAAGCTTCACTTGGGGTTTCGGCTGTAGAAGTTGGTCAGAAACAATCTGTTTGAAGGGAAAGGCCTTGAATGATAAGAGGCTGAACAGCTGTCATTCAGTGGTAGTTTAAGGCTTAAAGTCTGTGATCTCATACTTAAATTCCAACCTGAAGCTGTAAGTAGTGAATAACTGACTCAGCCAAGCTATTCCTTGATTGATTTTGGAAACCTGAAGTTCTTTTTAACTCTTGCCTTAAGATATTCTAGTGTTCTGCTGTTGATGGTGAAATATTTGGGTCCTGATGAGGGGATCTTAATCCAACAGTCACACCGAGGCAGTGACAAATTTCTAAGACAACTTTATTGTGCCATGGCCAACAAATCTATATATCTAATTCCGAAGTCGCCCCCTGGTGTGCGGATACTTATTTCCGCACATCGGGGGAACCTGGAGGGGAGGGAGAGTTTTGTGCACACGTGGGGCGGTCCCCAGGTGTGCACAAAAATCAGAAACCCTGTAAAAAATATCAGGGGGATGTTTAAATTCCCCCGAAACTGACAGAGCGTCCCCTGCGCATGCGCAGGGAACGCTCTGCAGCCGGCCTCCCGCCGCGCGGGGGGGGGGAAGAGAGCATGGAGTTCCGACGC